AACAGGCGCCCCGCACGCCTGTACTTCCTGGCGTTACTCTCCTGGGGTACCTCTTGGCGCCGCGCGCTGCTCAACACTAGCGCGCCAACGATCGCCTCTCGTTTTTTTCCGCGCGCAGCGAAAACATCCGTTGTTCCGCAGACCTCGCGCATGACCGCCGGGCGGGATGCCCCAACGCGGCATCGAGGTGCGACTGCCGAGACACTCTCAAATCGGCGTCTCCATGTCGGCCCTCGCGGACCCGCAGAAGAGGCGCATGAAGAAAAAACGCCTTACGAAGCCAATTCAAATGGTGTTGGCTGGCGGGGCGGCCACGTCGAATAGGAAGTGTTGCGAGCCAAGCGCCAGCCATGGAAAATAACCCAACGTCCCAGATAATAATCCCCGGGGGATAATAAAGTTCGGGGGTCCGGCGGGGATAACCAACGATTTCCCCAGCGAAGGATGATGATGATGATGATGATGACGATGATGATGACGATGATGATGATGATGATGATGATGATGATGATGATGATGATGATGATGATGATGATGATGATGATATTGGGCGCTCATGTAGACTGACCTTGTAGATCTTGGCGCAAGCCTGATTCGAGAGATCTCGAGACTCGTGGCCGCAACTTGCCCGCGCGAGAGAGGTCCCTGGCGCTACTAGCCAGGAAACCTCTCTTGCGCACGACCTCGAACCACTCGCACGGGCGCGGGCCTGGGCGGCAGCGGTTGCCTCCTCGAGGGTGGCGCGTTTCGGCTCGACCGCCGTGGGGTCCTTGAAGGGCTTGGACCCAGCCACCACCCAGCACAGCCCTTGCTCCCTGCGTTTCACCCACCCAGTACAGCGTTTCGTGGCCCCATAGGGGGCTCCAGCGAAGGTCCCACCAGCATCGCCCGCATGCGTCCGCCACCACCCAGCACAGCCCGTGTTCCCTGCGTGTCACCCACCCAGTGCAGCGCTCCGTGGCCCCATAAAGAACTCCACCGATGGTCTCAGTGGCACCGCTCGAATGCGTCAGCCACCACCCAGCACAGCCCTTGCTCCCTGCGCTTCGCCCACCCAGTACAGCGCTTCGTGGCCCCATAGGGAGCTCCACCGAAGGTCCCAGTGGCACCGCCCGCCTGCGTCAGCCACCTCCCAGCACAGCCCTTGCTCCCTGCGTTTCACCCACCCAGTACAGCGCTTCGTGGCCCCATAGGGAACACCGAAGAAGGTATTCATAATTGCGGTACTCACAACTGCATATGGTTGGGTCCTTCGCCAAGCTAATTTGTGTTGCTTGGGAACCGTGGGGGGACCGATACCGGCCTGACTGGGATAGTATGAATCAACGGGTAGGATGGACAGTGGGTCAGAATCATATGTGTCTTGCATAAGTTCCCGGGGAATCGACAAGTCCGGGGGGGAGGGTGGTAGAACCTGTTTTTCTATAGCAAAGGAGAATGTATGTAGCGCCTGGCAATGCTGGCCCAGGCTGGTTTTCCATTGTCGGGCGCGACATGCGCGGGCGGTGGGCCGGATGAAACCCATGGGCGCGCGAGGTCGCCCCATCTGACGGCGCAGCACGGGGGGGCCAACATCGCGAAATTGCGATAACAAGGCGAGCCAGGCCAACGGAGAGAGAACATAAAAAACCTACGCGTATATACATGCCACAAAAAGACAGATCGCACGCCACGGCCAAAGGGACGCGAACGCCCAACCCCTATTCGGAAAACACGCCCAGCATGATTTACTGTGAAGCCCGCATAAAGAAAAACATGGCGGAATCTAGCCGCGCACAGACACCCAGAGCGCAAGGCGCAAAATGCCCGTTATAATGTTTCGAACAACGTGTGCCATGCAATTCCCATGCTGGTTTCATACTGGTGCTGTGCACGCCCGATCCATGCAGCACGGGCGCGCAGAAGGGGCGTGCCACACCCACATCGCAACGCCATTCCAGTTGTGTCCGGCTGGGGTCCCTTCTGACCGGGACGTGAGGAGTGTCGGATTATCGCCCCTTCCACTCACATGCGGCACCTCCCTCCCCCCCTCCCCTCCTCACCCTCTTCCGCCTCCTCCACTTCCGTTTCCTTCTCGTCTCCAATCTCGCCGTTCTCCTCTTCCTCCTCCTCCCCCTCCTCCTCCTCCTCCTCCTCCTCCTCCTCCTCTTCCTCCGGTTCTTCTCCTCCTCCTTCTCCTTCTTCCCCTCCTGCTCCTGGCTTTACCTCCCTCCTGCTCCTGCTCCTGCTCCTGCTCCTGCTACTGCTCCTCCTGCTCCTCCTCTTCCTCCTCCTCCTCCTCTTCCTCTCCTCCTCCACATCCTCCGCCTCCGCCTGCGCCTCTTCCTCGTCCTCCTCCTCCAACTTTCCCTCCTCCTCCTCCTCCTCCTTCTCCTCCTCCTCCAACTCCACTTCCACCTCTGTCATCCACATCCTCCTCCTCCTCCTCATCCTCCTGAACCTCTTCCCATTCTTTCTTCTTCTCCTCCTCCTCCTCCTCCTCTTCCTCCTCCTCCTTCTCCTCCTCTTCCTGCGCTCTAATATATAATAGTTTTCCTCCACCGCCTCCTCCTCCTCGTCCTCCTCCGCCCCCTCACTGTCCTACTCCTCCTCCTCTTTGGCATCCTCCGCCTTCTCCGCCTCCTCATCCTCATCCGCATCCGCATCCACATCCGCATCCGCATCAGAATCAGCAGAATCATCATAATCATCATAATCAGAACCATCGTCATCATCATCATCATCATCATCATCATCATCATCATCATCGTCATCATCAGCATCATCATCATCGTCATCATCATTATTATCACCACCACCACCATCATCATCATCAGCATCATCATCATCATCAACATCATCATCATCAGCAGCAGCAGCATCAGCACCATCATCATCATCACCACCACCACCACCATCATCATCATCATCATCATCATCACCACCATCATCATCATCAATATCATTATTATCATCATTAGTATTATCATTATTATTAGTATTAGTAATCTCATTTTATTCATTTTCCTTTTCCTCCACACTTTCCCTCGTCCACGTCCTCGTGTTCCCTCCTCCGCATCCTCCCTCCTCCTCCCTCCTCCCGCCTCCTCCTCCTCCTCCTCCGCATCCTCCTCCTCCACCTCCGTTCCTCTGTCCAGCTCTTTCCTCCGCCAATTCATCCCCCTCCTCCACCTCCTCCTCCGCCTCTCCCTCTTTCTCCCCCTCCTCCTCCTCCTCCTCCTCCTCCTCCTCCTCCTCCTCATCCCTCCTCCTCCTCCGTCGTCTCTCCCTTTCTTTCCCCTTCCTCCGCCTTCTCCGCGCCTCCATTGTCCTGCTCCTCCTCCTCCTCCTCCTCCTCCTCCAACCGTTTCCTCCTCCCCTCCTCTTTGCACTCGGTCCCTCTACTCCACAGCCATCCTGTCTGAATGCAATTATCTTCCCATGCAGCGCGCGCGTGTGGTGCAACAATTTCCGCATTGTTTGCTCGCGCGCGCATCCGCTCACTGTTTTGATGCGCATGCGTTGTGTTCAATGGGACCGTCACCAATCTTTCAATACTGTCTTCCGCTGTGGCATGGGACATGAACTCAGAAGGTCCCTCACCGCCAACCAGACATCCGACTTTGAATTCATTCACCCCGCGGGCCCCACGGGTTCCGATCCCTTGCCTGGGGGGAATGTTCGTCCTGGATCCATATGCGATGCCCCCCATCCACCCAGAAAACAGCCCCCCTGATGCCGAAACCAACCCGGAAAGTAGGGGCCGAACTTGAGCAGGGACCGCCCGCCCAGGCATTTTAGGAGACCCCTTTTCGACGCCCTTCTTGACGGACTGGGGCCCCACCAAACGTGGCATGTGACGATTTCTCCGCGGCACCCGCCGCGCAACAACGACGACGACGACGACAATTACAACTACGACAACGATGCGACCTCGGCTACGGCCACGACTACGACTACGAATAGTAGATTGCGAACAAGGCAATCGGCGACGAGTGCGCTGATCTGAACTGCAATCCTCCTACAAATATGCTCAACATTACTGTCGTGCAGGAGATCTGTCGCGCACACAAAAATTAGAACCTAAAACCCCACACACTACCCAGCGCGGCGAACGATAGTGGGAAAATGATCTCCGCCGCGGCGACGACGACGACGACGACTACGATTACGATTACAACCGCGGGCACGATCACGGCTACAACCACAACCACTGATTCATACTGCCATCCGCATGAGAAGATGCTCACATATCCTCTCAAGCGCACGGTAGCCCACAACGGATTATTCCCTGGGAGATACAGCCCCCAAACATTATCCAGCCCGCCCAACAATACACAGAACATGATCGGTGGCCCGCGACGCGGGCGCCGACGACGAGGAGGAATGAGAGGAGTAGGACGAGGAGGAGGAGCAGGAAGAGGGGGGAGGAGGAGGAAGGGGAAGAGGAGGACGAGGAGGAGGAGGAGGAGGAGAAGGAGCAGGAGGAGCAGGAGGAGGAACACTATATATTAGAGGGTAGGAAGAGGAGGAGGAGGAGGAGGAACACTAATATATTAGAGGGCAGGAAGAGGAGGAGGAGGAGGAGGAGGAGGAGGAGGAGGAGGAATAGGGGCGAGTTTGTTACTCTCCGAGGGAACAAGGGAGGTGACTCAAACTAAAGACCTCCTGAGATTAGACCTGCCACGAAATCTGGGACAAACGAAAGCGCTAAGAACAGAACCGATGCTCTTGGAACGTGCAAGCGATACATGACAACAAAACTGTCTCAGACACGCATGCCCTCATATCTTTTGGCTCGCACCACAGTGCGCCCTCAAAACATATTCTGGTGGCCCTATAGGCATGTCAGAACGCCCCGCTACTGCTTGCTGGCCAAAACCCATATTATTGGGAGGCCCGGGTCCCTCCTCCCTCCTTGGGTCGCCATCCTGCTTGAGCCGCGGCCAGGACCACCGTGCAACTTCGCGGGCGCGGCACCCGCCCCCCCTCTCACCCCGGGCTGGCCCGCCGCGGGGCGCCTCAAGTGGAAGCCGGCGCCCTTGTCGCTCCCGTCCCTGCTGATCTTCTCGAGCTGCGAAAGGTGGGATCGCTTTCACAAAACATCGTCGCCTTCCTTGTCATGCTGTCACAAATTTGACTTCGGCATATTGCTACGGTCACTTGTTGAGGATGAGTCGGTCATGTCTTCGGCGGGTGAATGGTTTTCAGAGCGTCCAAGACGGCCAAAGAGGCCCACAAGACCGTCCAAGAGGGTATCCGCCAACGAGGGGCCCAATAAACCCCCATGAGATTGAAGCGTTCCACCACAAGATGGCCCACGAGACAGCCAACAGGCCCCTACCCAGAAGGCCCCCAAGATGCGAGACCTACGTTGCTTCACATCAGCGATTTGGCCCCTGCTGACTTTTTTCAAAATAGTATATTGGGATGAAACGCTGCCGCTGGATATATCGAGCACAGTTGATCACAACACAAACGCTCCTGCGACCCCCGCCAAAATGGCAAGAAATGGTAAGCTCAGATCCGCATGGCTACATTGCAACCGAACCGCTTGACCACCATCTCGACCGAACTGGCGGAATTCGACCACGCGTCCGACAAAACACGTTCGACGAGGGACGCGCTGCACAATGCCCCGGCCACGGGCAGCGCTACGAGGGAAAGCGGGCCCTTCGATGTGTCACTTTCAGCGCCCGTGAAAGTGACACCTCCCAGGGCCCACTTAAAGAGCACCAGAAAGGCTCCAAGAAGGCCCCGAGAAGGCCCCAGGGCGGCACCAAGAGGGCTCCCAGAGGGACCCAAGAGAGGCCCCAAGAAGGGCCCAAGAGGGCCCTCCGCGGTGTCACTTTCAACGCCCGTGAAAATGACACCTCCCAGGGCCCACTTAGGGCCTCAGAAAAGCTCTAAGAAGGCCCCGAAAGGGCCATAGAGAGCCGCCCTGGGTTCAACTCCGCGTGGCGGAGTTGGAAGCGATAACTTCAATACCCTGCTGGAGGCCTCTTAGGGGCCCTAAGACGGCACTGAAGAACCCCATCGGGGCTTTTTCAAAGGCAGAGGAGGGCGCAAAAAGGGGCCTCAGTGAGCCCCTGGTCTAACTCCACCTGGCGGAATTGGAAGCGATATCGCCCGGCGCCTTCATGGAGCCGCTCGGAGCTTCCAAGACGGCTCCAGAAGGCCCCAGGAGGGCCCCAAGAGGATCGAACGACGATTCCTGGAAGTGCACCAGTGAGACCCTTGTTGACCTCCGCCTGGCGGAGTTGGAAGCGACAATTTCCAGTGCCCTCTTGGGGCCTCTGGGGGGCCCCTCAGAAAGCTTTGGGGAGCACAGTGAAGGCCTTCGCAGGGCCGCGTGAGAGCCGTACCAGGGCCGCATGTGTGCGCGGATGGGGGCGACGAGTGCTGACGCTGACGAATATGAGAATGATGAGGGCGATCAAGGCTGGCCCGAAACAAATCCTGGCGCCATTGCAGGCCGCCGATTATCGGCCACGCCGCCAGGGCGACGCCAAGCAACAAAACGACACCAACCAACAAACCGACACCAACCAACAAACCAACAAATCGACACCGGCCAACAAAAGGACACCAAGCAACAAAACGACACCAAGCAACAAAACGACACCAACCAACGAAACGACACCAACCAACAAAACGGCACGAATCAACAAAACGGCACTGACCAACCAAACGACAAATCACTTCACGACACCAATGAACAACGCGAAATCCACCGACCGCCAACCAAGCACAAAATCAACCGACACAACGAAACCAACCCATAGAGCCAGACCAACCACTGGATTCGTGAGTCGGGGTAGTCATGGAAGTGAGCCGCTGCAGCCCGCGGAAGCCATTAACAGTGACCAGAGCACCGCAATGCAGCAACGTCCCCGGGCGGCGGCGGGAGTCTTGGATCTCCCGCGGGACTGGAGCGTAGCGAGTTCGTCCTGGGTCCGGTTTAGTGAAGTGAAGAATTTCGGGGTGCTTGCATGGCAAAAACCTTCACTTCACTAATCTGGGGCCCCTGGAGCCCCAGGGCGTTTCAGGTCCCCTCGCTGTCTGGGTAGTCCAGGGGGCGCAGTGGCGGCTTACCAGAGGCCCTGTTCCCTAGCCTCACTTGCTTTCACCCGTGGTGCTCGACGGCCGTCTCGGAGCTGTCTTGTGGCGGTCTGGGGCAATCCCGAAGCCTCTTGGAGCCATCCCAAGGCCCCAAGGCGCCACCAATGGGGGCCCCAAGAGAGCTCCCAGAGGGCCCCGAAAGGCCTACAACAGATTGCACGTTCGCGCGAATTCTTTGTACCACTTTGGGGGGTCCCTCTTGGGGCCCTCGGGGAACGTTCTTGGGGCCCTCCGAGGGCCCACTGGGGCCCCGGGAAGGCCCCAAGAACGCTCCCAGAGGGCCCCAAGAATGCTCCAAGAGGGCCCCAAGAGGACCCCCACAAGTGACAAAAACTATTTGCATGAGGGTGCAACTTACTCGGCGCCTCTTGGGGCGCTCTTGGAGCCGTGCTGGGCGCCACTCGTGGACGACATGGGCTGGGCGACGGCATGTGGACCCTGTCGCTTGGGCCATCGGGGGTGCTCCCCAATGGGGCCACGAAGCTTGTGAGCGTATGACGGAATGGGCTGGGCGGCGGCCTGTGGGCCCTGCCTGTGGGGCCGTCGGTGTAGCTCCCCGTGGGGCCACGAAGCGTGTGAAACGTATGCCGAAATATGCTGGGCGGCGGCCTGGGAAACCTGCCGCTGGGACCTTTTTTTGGTGGAGCTGCCTATAGGGGCACGAAATGTTTGAGGGTGTCATCAATGTGGCCTGGGCGACGGCATGTGGACCTTGCCGCCGGGACCTCCGATGAGCTCCTCATGGGGACACGAAGCGTCTGAGGGGCGTGCCGACATGGGCTGGGCGGCGCACTAAGGACCCTGCCGATGGGGCCTTCGGTGGAGCACCTCACAAGGCCACGAGACTTGCGGGGGATGTGGCGAAGCAGAGACGCGGGGGAACAAGGGGGGTGTTTTGATGATGTTGATGAGGATGGTGGTGGTATTGATGATGGAGACGACGAGAATGCTGATGATGCTGATGATGATGGTGATGGCGACGATGACGATGGACGATGACGACGGGGACACGCGGAGAGCAGGGGCAGATACGCGAAGAGGGAGGACGAGGGAGGGGGCCGGAAGGAATGACGCGGGGCGGTGTCTCTTCAAAACGAAGAACCAACACTGCAATATGGTAGGAAATTTCTGGACGACCCCCCCCCGTGGCGCGGTCAATGTCCGCGACAGCATCGCTGGCATTACGAACGAAATGATCGAACTCTTCCTGCGACGTTACCCGCGGGGTGGATCAGCCAGGGATGGGGGTCGAAACCGCCCCAGCGCAAAGCAAGTATACAATCCTGAGAAACCCCAGCCCACATCAACCGATCCGCAACAAACACGCAAGCCTTTGACGACCCCAACGCACGTGACATCGCATAACGCGACGCGCCATCGAAAACGTTCGACGCGCGGCCTCGGAATGACATCGGGCTTCATGGAACGTCGAATGGAAAACATGAAAAACCGCCCTGTGGGCTCCGAGACCCAAAATTACTGATGTGAAGGATTTCGGCTCGTCGAGCTTATGCGATATAAAACACCTTCCTAGGCCCATACATTTCCGCTCATTTAACAGAGATGCATAATTATTGGCATTCTCGGAGATGAAGGTGTGCGACCGCAGTGAAACGGGGAACCCCCCGTCCAGAAAATCGGTTTTGGTTTCGTGCTCATGTCGCGCGTGCGGGTGAGGCGAAGCTGCATGGGCGGGCGAGGAGAATGAACCCTCCCCTGGCCGGGCCAAAAGACCACCCTCCCACCCCATGGCGTATTGCGGTGGAGGCGTTGCGGCAAGGACCACCGCCATGCTCCTAACCATGCAGGGATACCTAACGTAGGCCTGGACAGCGCCTGCTTGGTCGAGTGGACAGTCGACGAGACGTTGCCAATGGAGTGTGACACATGTTCTGTGCGGCTTGCACTCGTATGCGTGAACATGAAACGTCTGACTATATAAGAAAATAAATAAATAACAATAAAAAAGAAAAAAAGTAAAAAAAAAAAAACAAAAAAGAAAAAAAAAAAAAAAAAAAAAAAAGTTAAACAAAAGAAAAACAAACAAACAAAAAAAAAACAAAGGCAAACGAAAAAATCGTATGCGTGAACATGAAACGTCTGACTATATAAGCATCGGGTTGCAAGAGCCGCTTCGTTGCCCCACGTGACCATATACGTGGAATATCTGTACGACCGCCTTCGGGTGATGAGCAGGTTCTGAAGAGGGAGGAGCAAACGTCTCACTCAATCGATCTCACTGTCGATCTCATTATCGATTTCACGATCGATCTCACTATTGATTTCACGATCGATCTTACTACGGGACAACGATGGGACAACGACGGGACGCCCCGGGCCACAACCGGGTCAGCATTCGGTGTTGCGCGAATCTTGAACCGAAACGGCTGCATGCACACTGGCTTGAGTCAAAATGGCCATGGATGATTTGTAAATGCTTGCTTGCCAAGACGATCCCTGGCGGGCCATGATGGACATGCGGGTTGACTTCAAGGAGCCCGCGAGGACATCGGGATCAGGATACCCTTCAGCAGACTCTATGTAACACAAAGATGGGGACAAGAGGCTGTCCTCCTCCTCCTCCTCCTCTGCCTTCCCTCACTCTGTTCAACTTCCTGTTCCTGCTTGCCCCGCTGCTCTTGCCGCTGGTAGCCATTGCTGCTGGAGCTCTTCCTCCTTCGCCCAAGCCTCCTCAACTACTCGCGCGCTCTCTGACACATGATCGGCTCTGTGCAAAAAACGGGCCCGCTGGACCGGTGTCTGCCTAGGCAGCGATCGGATGCTTGCCACATGCCATTATCAAATACACAATGAAGCATGTAGATCACTTGCCACCTGCTCACAGAAGCACGTATCCGGTACCAAGCAGTGTTCCTCTGTCACTGCCACTGGGCATCCAGTCGTGCCAACGCTGGTGGCTTGCAGTTGCCCGAGTTTCTGGGCGCGTGCTTGCAAT